GGTGTAGGGGCTTTCTTGTGGCTAGCATGCACATATGTCTCATCTTTTTCATTCACATTTGGACAAATTTTATACCTATCTTTAAGTACATTTTACCTTTGGTTCTTTCTCCATTCCTTACAGAGTGTGATGATACTTAGATCTCTGGTTAATAACATACAAATCTTTGAGGCTCCATTTTCTCTCTTGCCTTAGTTTTTTTTTCTCATTAGTTTAGATTGAGTAATTTTGAGTAGTTTTTTAAATCTTTCTGTGTCATTGTTTAATAATGTTTCTGTGTTTGTGTTGTGCCGCTGAGTGTATGAGCTGAGGTCTTTACTTTGACTATTTTATTTGTAAGTTCTAAAGTTTACATTTACATTGTTGTGCTTTGTTTTTTTCTTTTGAGACAGAGTCTCACACTGTTGCCCAGGTTGTAATGCAGGGCTGTGATCTCAGCTCACTGCAGTCCCTGCCTCGTGGGTTCAAGCAATTCTCCTGCCTCAGCTTCCTAAGTAACTGGTACTACAGGTGTGCATCACCATGCCCAGCTAAGTTTTTTATATTTTTAGTAAAGACAGGGTTTCACCATGTTGGACAGGATGGTCTCGATCTGCCCTCATGATCTGCCTGCCTCAGCCTCTCAAAGTGCTGGGATTACAAGTGCGAGCCACCATACCTGGCTGCCTTTTTAAAATATTGCAATAATGTTATTTTACTTATGTATTGGTATTTATTTATTAAAAGGAAAATAAATTAGGGTATAATTTGTGGATTTAATTACTGATACAAACTTTTCAGGTAGAAGTCCTTTTAAAAATTTTTGATAAGTACTGGAATAAAACAAAGATTTGAAAAATGTAATTTTCAGATATAATATTTTTCATGTAATAATGATTCAGTGAATCACAGTATTTGAAAATTTACATGGCATATTCACAGCATGAGAGAAAATTTCAATTCAACATTACAAGTCAGACACAATAGGAAGTGAAGAATAAGCAAAAGAAGACTTTCTGACAGACTTTATCTGAGATGTTTTGAAACTCATGCTTTATATTTTGAGTGACACAGCCAAACCAGAAAATAACCTCATAATCCATGGACATGTTTTACCTTCACTTGTAAGCTGTGCAATGAACACATCTATTAAGTTCTAATTTTAGTGACTATTTATCCCTATTCTTACCTCACTGGCACTGTCTAACTTGCCTTAATTTACCTTTACTCTGAAGAAGACCACATAGCCTTATACTTTCCATCCTGTGAGTTTAATTATCTTGGTTGTTCCAATTCTGAGTGTTTACTTTCACTAGCCCTTTTTAACATTTCTCTGCTATATGCAGAACGTTATTGCTCTTCTATGCCTTTGGAGGAGGTCATCAGCATACTCTATCTGCTTTCTTAGCATACACTTCCACATTCAGCAGTTTATAAGATACTTCTACAGGCAGTGGGAACATGATGCTACCAATCTTGCATGGAAATACACAGCAGTATTGTAGAGGTCCTGACTCTTGTATATTAGTCATGTTCACTGAAGTAGATAATGATCAGAATGGTGGGCAATCTTGCACGGTATGTTCTCAATGAACTGGTGCTCCTGGTCCCCTTCTTATGAACAGTGTATCTCCTTACACACCTTCATGAGGTAAGAGTTTAGAAGAAGTTTTGTGGCACTGTCCTAGCTGAGAGCCCAGGAACAGTTGGGAGTCCACTATCTCTAACATGTAATATTTTAGAGTTTCTGTGTGGGGAATGTGGTTTGCCTTTTATATCTTCTGTTTCTATACTGTGATTTTCTTTTTTTTCCCCCCTCTTTTAAGCACTGTAATCATTTCAGTTTAATTTTTTTATCATATATTCAAACATTTCTCATGTCTTTTTCCATTCAGTTTGATATACTTTTTTTTTGATATGGTGAATGATTTTTGACTAGATCTTCAAAGTTTTTATGTTATGTTATAAGACAGTGTCACTGTGTTGCCTAAGTAGAGTATCTAGGCTCACTGCAGCCTCTGCCTCGTGGGTTCAAGGGATTCTTCTGCTTCAGCCTCTCGAGTAGCTACAGGTATGTGCCACCATGCCTGGTTAAGTTTTGTATTTTTAATTCAGATGGTGTTTCACTGTGTTGGCCAAGCTATTCTCGAATCCTAGACCTTAACTGATCTGCCCATCTCGGCTTCTCAAAGTACTGGGATTACAGATGTGAGCCACTGCATCTGTATTAATCTTTTTATTGTAGGTGGCTATTTAGTTATATCTGGCACAGTAAATGGTATTGCTGTCGCTTACTGCCAGGTGAATGTTAAAGTTTAGAGTCTTCACTGAGTTAGGTTTTTTGTTTATGTTGAACTGAAATGAGAGTTGTGGCTTCCTAAATGGTTTCCATTGATGTTGCATTATTGTTCCAGGCTTTCTTATTACTGGCCAGTGGTTAAAATGCTGACTTCCACTGGGACACTCTGACTCCACTCACATGTGCAATCAGCTTCTTTCTGCAATGTGATATGAAATTTAGGGTACCCTCAGCTGAGGGCACACGAGCCTTGTTACCAGCCAGCAGCAATAAAGACGGATTATTTTCATCTTCCTCGATCTTTTCTTGATCCCTATTTGGCTTTCTTTCACATTAATCCAGTAGGTAGCCTGAGATATGATAGACATCAGTGCTCTCTACTTGGCCTTTGTGTAGAGAAGTGGTTTGAGGCAACTTTTTTTTCCTGTGCGTTTGAAGTGGACAGAATATATTCTGTTTTTCTGTCTTGCTGGATTGCTTTTTTCTTTGGTCCTTTAGTTAGGGAGACTGGTACCACCCGGCCTGCCTTCATGGTTTTTTTTTTTGGTGCTTCTGGAATGGTGGCTTCTTCAGTTTCAGATGTAGGATAAAAGGGAAAAAGATAACCTGTAATATGGTGGGAGTTTACTACTATGTTATTTGTCAGGCTCTCTGTTTTTTTCCTCTCTCTCTCTTTTTTTTTTTTTGATAGTTGTTACTTACAGTTTTTATGCTAAACAGTGTCCTACATTACTCATTTGCACGATACTTTTTGAAGGTCTGTCTTTCAGGATTTTTCTAACCCAGGTGGTTCTTTATCCCCATGTTTTTCTCTCTAAAACTTCTAGCCGTCTGCATTTTAGATACTTGCTATTATGGAACTACTAAATATCTGTGTTTTCAGTGATATACTTGGGCTTGAACATCTCCAAATTCTTTTATGTATCAATTCACACTAGAAAAGAAACTACTTCATTCTGTGATCTTAAGCCTACTTTTCTACCAGAGTTGAACCTTTGCATTTCAAGGGCTGCAGCCTGAGATAGTGGCCACTTCTCTTGAAATGATCCCTGTGCTTTAGGAACAGACACTGGGCAAGACCTGTAGTCTTGAGTCTTTTCTGCTTACCTCTCTGCCTGGAATCTACCCAGAGTTATTTGGTTCAAGGGCAGTTGGTCATCAGTGTTTTCATGGTCTGCTGCACACCTGCATTAGAGTTTCCAGTTAACCAGTGTGGGAATGGGAGAGCAAAGCAACTTCTTGTCTTCTCATTTGCACTTGTTTTTAATATAGTTTCTTCAATACTGAGCTGAGTGGGGAAATGTTGGTAGCCTACATCTGTAGAGGAGTTAGCCTAGCCCTAAAGCAGAAGTTTGTGCAATAGGGAACACTATATTTTGCTGGGTATAGTAATCCTCTCTTACTGAGCTGGGGTAGGTTAGGACTGGGGTGAGAAAGAATGAGTTCTGTCTAAAATACCACAGATTTTCACTGTTTTTCTTGAGAACTTCAGTTTTCTCATGTAAAAGTTTCTCCATTTGATTAGTGCCCTTAAGATGATTATGGAGAGACTTTAAGGTAGCTTTTCTAGATAAAGTGTCTGTGGATCTTTTCAGGCTTCTTTATTTGATGTTGCTGCCTTACATTTTTTTGTTTTGAAAGTAAATATTTTAGTCATAGAAATGTAACCTATATTGTAAGATGATTCTTATATATGCTACTGTCAAGCATTAAATTTAGTTCTTTTTAGATTCTTTTTTGTCATTTTATGATTGTTTAAAAAAAGCAAGTTTTCCTCAGTAGGCTTCTTCTGACCCCTTAACTTTCTGTGGTTAAATTCAATGGAAGCGTTTCAGGTAACGTTTACAGTTTAATTGTAAAAATCTCTGAAATTTGTAAAAATGCTTGTTCAAGACAGACTCCTCAGCATACTACAATATATTCAGTCTGCTACTCTTGGCATTCTGCTGGCTTTCAGTTTATTTTTTCTTTTAAATATTTTTCAACTTATTTTTGACTTTTGGGTGATATTCAGTGCTAGGTATATTTTATTCTAAAAGCTTATCCCCAGGAATGTGACATGGCTTAGCTGTTTTTCAGAGATTCTGAGTTTATTGGATAAAGTGATGGGTTTTCCTAGTGTTTCCACTAATTCCAATCTGCTTATATGACTTATTTTTTATGTTTTTATTTTATGATTTTGTTTTATGTGCCCTTTTTTAAGTCTGTTTGGAAGAACTGCTTTATATGATTTGAGTACCTTTTATGCCTTTAGATAGGTTTTAGGGCATAGGGAAGTCTAACTGAGAATTAAATTATAGATAGTGGTAGCCTAGGTAATACTGATTGTGTAAAGGGAAGCATCACAGAGAGTTATATTGCACCTTAGGTGACTGAATTTTTATCTTTCTAGAAAGTGAATTGCATGTGAAGAAAAATTGGAAAACTTTTCATAATAGGGAATACCTCTATCAGATTGTTATTACTTTTGGTCTTTGAAGGAGGTCAGATTAATTTAAGGAATTATTAAGATACTGTTTTTGTTTGAGTGCATGGGTGAGATTTGATTCTGGTTGTATATACCTGATTAAATATTAGTAAGCCATAAAATTTAGATTATTTGGCTTTTATTGTTAGTTAATAGATGGGCATCTTTGATAGCTTATAGTAAAGTATTTCATGTCTTACAGTGGATTTTTAAATGGGATATGATTTGGCTCATAATTATTTTTTTCTTTTTCAGCATTATCTGCATATCAGAGATACTACAGTTTACAGGATGACTACTGGAAGGTTAGTACAAATTTTCAATGCCAGTTTTGATTTTCTTTATAGCATATCTTACACAAAATACATTTATCTTGTCATAGGATGTAACTACATAAATATTAGTTACATCCTATGACAAGATAGTGAGGATTAGCCACATAGATATTACTATGTGGGTAAAGGGTAAGTTATGTTTTTGTCACAGACTTTGAAAGCCCATAGGTTGATCCCTAATATAAATAAAATTGTTGCTGGCTTTTGTGAATTACTTGAGTGGGAAAGAAATATAATTAAAAGTGAAACTACTTAGTTTCAAAACATATATTAATATGTTTATTTTTATTTTTTTGTAATGACATTATGGACATATAATTTATATAGCTTAGAAATCAGTCATTTAAAGTGTACAATTCAGTAGTTGTTAATGTATTCATAGAGTTGTCCAGCCATCACAACTGTTAATTTTGAAACATTTTCATGATATCAAAAATAAAACACCATATCTTTCCATCTCCCTCTATGAACTTGGTACTAAGCAACCATTAATTTCATTTGTGTTTATATTGCCTATTCTGGACAAATTTGGATGGAATCCATTAAAACTTAAATTTTTGGTGCTTCAAAGAAGGCTCTCAAAACTGAAAAGACAACTAAAAAGTATAAGAGAAAACATCTGCAAATCATGTAAGGATCCAACAATCAGATACATATTTTTAAAAGCTGTTGCAACTCAAGAAATATCAGAAGAAAAATAATCAGAATAGACATTTGCCCAAAAATAAATGTATACTAATGGCCAATAAACAAAAAGATGTTCAAACATTAGTCATGAGGATAATGAGAATCAAAACTACAGATCACTTCATGCTCTCTAGGATGATCATAATTTTAGAGACAGGAAGTGTTGGCTAGAATATAGAGAAACAGATCTTTAAATATTAAGGTGGGAATGTAAAAGGGTGCAGCTACTCTAGAAAACAACCTAGCAGCTTTTTACAAAGTTACTGTCTCTTCAAACAATTCCACTCCTAGGCATAAAACAAAATAAAACTTAGGTGTTCAAACAAAATCAGCTACACAGATGTTCACTGCAACCTTATACATAAAAGCCAAAAAGCAGAAACAAGCAAGTGTCCATGCTGATGGAAAAAACATTTGAATGTATGTGTAATGAAAATGTTGAAATGTATAAAAAGAATATTGTTTTCTTTTTTGCTTGTGTCTTTACCATCAACTGACTAGCTTAAATATATGCCATATGTTCATTACCATAAACGTTTATCCCTGTTTTCCTTTTAGAAGTTTATAATTATAGTTCTTAAATTTAGGTATTTGATTATTTGAGTTCCTTTTGATATGAACAGGGAACTTCCTATTCTGCTTTTTTGTTGACTTGTCTTTATTTTGGCCTTTTTTATTCTTCCTTGAGAGATTTTATGTATTTGTATGTAAAAATGTGTATTTGTTTTTCTGATGGTCCCTATATATAGGTCCTGTATGCTTTCTTTACTTTTACATTTTCTTTCTTTCTTTTTTTTTTCTGTTCATCTATCTGTCTAATTTTATTCTTGATTCCCGACACCAGCTTGAAACAGCTACCAGGCCAATTTCAAATGACCTTATGTAACTAGCTTACTGATCATTCTTCATATTTGTGTCAGGTATTGAGACTGCCTCTTAATGTTCTATTTTGATATTCTTTATTCAGTTCTAGGATTTTTTTTTTAATGGTTTCTATTTCTTTCTTAAGGCTCTATTTTATTTATTCACTGTTTTCTTGATTTCTTATACTTACATGTCTTGTCTTGCCATCTCATTCACCTTCTTTAAGATGATTATTTTGAATTGTTTATTATGTAATATATTTCTACTTCCTTGTGCTTGGTCACTGGAGCTTTATCAATACGTTTTGCTGATGTCATTTTGGCTATTTGTATATTCAAAGAGCAAACATGCTTCTCATCTTTACAGACCTCCTTGTTGGAGCCTGGGGTATTGGGATAGCGTCTGGGATCACTGAGTGGCGTTGGAGCCACGTTGGTGGCTACTGCTGAGTATGTAGTTAAAGTCTGTGGTTGGCACACCTATTAGTAAGGTTTGAAGCAGGTGTTTCTAATGGTTTTCTTATACTATTGTTTTTAAGACCTTGGGTCAGTATGGCTGGTGCTATGACAAATGTTTGTTTTAAGGTTGGCAGTGGCTGTAGAGATAGCAGGCTTGTTACATGGTAAGTCTCTTGTCAGGTAGGACTGCTTACAGTGCATTAGTGAGCATGAGGAATCTAGTGACAGTGCTTTTTCAGAATTTACTGTGACTGAGTTTTTTGGGCTTGCCTCTGGTGCACTAAACAGGCATGCCTCCAGTTGTCTTGTTAAGACAGGGGTACCTATATAGACAGGACTGCTTCTGGACTGTGGCTAAGAGTAGCGGGAGCTGTGTTACAGTGCTGCTTTAAGAGATGCAGTTTGACAAGTTAGTAGGCTTACCTCAGGGGCACATACTGGACAAGAGTTTTGTCTAATGAGTGGGTTTCTAATTAGGCAAAACTCTTTCCTGGCCTGAGACTAAGAAGGTCTGTAGCCAACTTAAAGGGCAGTTTCAGGGTCTCTATGAGTCCGATATGACTGAGGCTACAGAGTGTTAGGACTATAGTCGGAAACCTTGTTGCCAACACTGCTGCCTGGGCATGGGCCTGCTTTAGCAAAACAGTTCTTAGTCTCAGGAGTTTTGTAGCCTCCTATTTGGAATCCAGAGGTCCCATTTTCCTTGTGAATCACTGCAAGTTATTGCTACCATAGGGAATATGAACAGAGGACTTTCTATTCCACCATTTGCTGATCTCCTTGTACTTTATCTGCTCAGAATTTTCTTAAGTTTTTAAAGATATATCAGTTGATGTTTTTCGTCAGTTTTGATCATTATCCTCATTTTTTTCAAACTAAAGTTTATTTTTAATAGTTCTTTTTTGCAGGATTGTATCAAAGATACCACAGGGTGCTTATTCCAAACCCACTTGGTGCTTATTCCAAACCACAGGGTGCTTATTCCAAATCCCCTATTGGTAAAATCTTATGTTAATCTGGTACCTTTTTTGTAGTTTATTATCCACTATTGATGAATTACCGCTAAGTAAAGTTCATTCTTTATTCAAATTCCAGAGTTTTAACCTAATATTTATTTTTGGATCCCATCCAGAATATAACATTATTACTTCTCACGTCTTTCTAGACTCCTTTTGACTACGAAAGTTTCTCAGACTGTGTTTTTTATTGACAATCTGGGAGGATACTCGTTTGGTATATTGGAGACTGTACCTCCACTGGTATTTTTTGAGTATGTTTCCAATGATTTTACTGAGATTTTGGAATTTGGGTACATTGCATTTTAAACAGCATATCAAGGGTACTTACTATTCATTATGATTTATTCCTGTTTATGCTGACTTGATTTCCTCATTGAGGTAGTGCTCATCAAAAATCTTTACTGGTCTTTTAACAGTTTTCTCCGCTTCCATTTGCCTTCTTCACTTGTACCTTGCAAGTACATATCATCTCACAGATACCTGTGACTGTGCTCTACTTTTCTGTCATTTTTTTAATTTTTATTTTTGCATTTAATAGATGATAAAACACATCTCATCCATTTTCTGTTTTGACTTTTGTTTCTAACATCTTCCTGTTGTTGTTATTATATTTACATCCTTCTGCTAAAATTCCTTGTTTTCATATATATGTCCAGCTTTCCCACCAGATGCTTCAGCAGTTTCTGCTCTTTTCAAAGTATTGAATTTAGTTGAATATAGGCATCACTGAAGGTTTAATTTTATTCATTGCTTTCTTTTTTCTGGAACTTGAATTTTGATACTGGTGAAACTTTGGAGACCTCTGTGTTTTACAGTTTTTAAACTTAATTGCTTTCTTTAATAAAAAAGCTGACATATTTTTATTATCTAGAGAAGTCTCACTGCTTTTTACTCCTTCCCAGATTTTTGGGGCTCACATATGTAGAATTTGCTATATGTGAGATGTGGGTTTAAAGGAAGATGGCAACAGATTTTCTTGCGATATATGGCAAGAATAATCGCAGAATAATGTGAGAGTATATTTTATTAAGATGTCTGCCTGTTTTTTCTCCTGTTAATGTAATGGGAGATGAACTAGAAGAAAATGGGCCAAACTCATAATATGAAGGCCTTATGTCTTGAGCTAGGGTTGCTGGTTATCTTCTGAAGATTTTAGAAATAGAAAACTCAGATGTTTTTGCAAGCTCTACTAGTTGTGGTCCAGGTTTATAGTGGATTGATGGAAGCGACAGGCTAGAACTTAAGAAATACTTTATTAAAATAACCCAAGGAGAAAATTTGAGACCCTAAATTGTCTAGGAACAAACAATATTTATGGAGAGAAGGACAGAGGACATATTTAGGAAATTATATGATGATTGGTTATTCTTAAGGGAGATTTTTTTTTTCCATTCTTAAGGGAGATTTTCTTGCTTGGCCTTTGCTTTCAATTTCATTGTACATAACTTTCTAACAGAAAAAAGAGGAAAACAGGAGAGACTTGTACAGGGGGAAATAGAAACTTTCCTAGAAACCTTGTTAATAAAATTAATATTTTGTAAGATAAATCTCTGTCATATCTGAGAGAGACTGAATCAGCCGGTAGATAATCATCTTTATACAAGTTTAGCAGGAGATAACTTTTCAAAAGATGAGCACATACGCAGCAAAATCCACAGTTTTACTCATGTGTCTTATATTATTGCTATAAAGCAGTGCTGTACCTTTGAATTAATGTGAGCCTTATATGGCAAAAAAATTTCTAGTTGACATATTTAAAAAACTGAAAAAGCAGCAAGTGAAAATAATTTGGAAAGATGCCTGATTCAACTATTATGTCCAAAATGTATTTATTTTTAAAGGATATAAAGAACTAATATTAAAATATTTTTTACTTTTATTTGTGCTAGACATTTAAAATATGCTGAATGTTTTTGACTACTATTTGAGCAAGTCACATTTC